CAAATACACTCACACACAAAACAAACATGTAAAATCCATCTTAGCGTCAATGTCCCTGCATCACAAATGATACAAAAGCACAGGATGTATGAAGGCTGTCAGACCTACCAGAGTCTCCAGGACTTGGTTTCTTGGGTTTTTCCGGCTGTGGATCGTCTGTGGAAGAAAGATTAATTTAAACAAAAACAGTGGTGGACAGTCCAAGCGTGGCTAATGAGGAGCTATTTTATGATTTATGCTTAACAGTTTTGCATTTGTAGAAGTAAAAATCAGACATGAGATTAAAAAAGGACAAATATATTACGCAGAACAAATTCTGACACTCAGCAGAAGACAATCAGTAAAATAAGACGTCAGCGTATCTACCTGGTCCAAATGCATCCCAAAGGTCTAGCTCACCTGAAGGAGAAACACATGGAATTAGTCTGTTAACCCGTCCACGTGTGTGGCTTCAAAACAGGAAGCTGTGCAGCATATCAACTGGGACATACGTTTAAATCTATATTTATACCGTTTTACTTCTGCTTTCACAGTCTTACGTTCTTATTATGAAGCAGTTTCTGGGAAATTTAAAGATGGCACGAATGACTGCCAGAGCCACAAAGAAGAGCATGAAAAACATCCAAGTTTGATTCATCGAGTTTGATTTACACAGACGATATGTTACAATGGATACACCTGTAATCTCATATATATACATATATATGTATGTCATTCATGTCATTACTGAGCACTGACATATTGTGTTCAGGACAATGGGACAGACTAACACAGATCATCATATGTGTAGTATACATCACTGTAAACAAAAGGCCACTGATGGCGTGCTTCAAAGTTCTGTCGTAACACATGAAATACTACAAACCATCCTTTTTGGGCTGCTCTGGTGCCTTTGGCTTCTCTTTGGGCTTTTGGGTTGTCGTTTCTAAAGAAACAGAAAGAAACGAGTGAATGAAACCTTTACAAAAACAATGCTAGGAAAAGTGCCCGATGTGACGGTCACTCACTTATTTCATCCAACCCATCCTCCAGGCTGAGTTCTGTATGAAGAAGACATGAGGAAGAGCATTACAGTTTAATAGTGGAGACTGTTGACAGTAACCACAGGAGGGTAACACTGTCACAAACATCACACTTCACATAAATACCCTTTATATTTATATCTCTATATGTTTATATCCAGCTTTGTCAGCATGTCTGATTTCCTCTGAGTCTTTAAGTAGCAGACACAAACATGCCCGTGTGGGCCCATGGTGGGAAGCTGTGAGTGACCTGGGTCATGAATGGAAGGCTGGGAGTGCTGGGAGTGCTGGGAGTGCTGGGAGTACCGGCAGAGCGAACATGTCCAGAATGGTGACGTCACATTAGATGGTTTCATGCACAGTGTGGAAGGCGGCAGGCAGCTGTGAGGTTCATGTTTCACAGTGACTGCTGTTTTTATTTCCCGCTGAACGCCATAGTTTTACATTTCTATCATGTTTTCTACGATATCATCACTGAATTATTAAGATGTTTGGTATCGTGTTGTTTATTTGTAGCCTTTGTTTATTAACATATTTTAAATACCTTCACGATCTGTACTTTGTAAAACTAATCTTAAATACCAGTTTCACTAAGTCGAACTTAGAACTGGGAAAACTGGCTGAAATTAACCAATTGAATTTTTTACCTATTCATGTTTTTATTGCAGAATGGAGTCAGAATGTTCCCTGTGCTATTGAAAGCAGCACTGAGTATCGTCACAACCCACAGTCCACACTAATCACATGCCAGATGTGCCGGGCCCACAGCTCGCTGTGCCCCTTGCGTGTTGGATACAGTCATACAGTGTATTTGCTGGTTGCTAGGGCAGCTCTGACTGACACATCAAGAAGCTGTAAAAAGCACGAGTCACAACTGAAAGTAGGAGGTGTGAGCCGCACTTTGCCTGAACAAGTGCAGAAATCCAGCACTTGCTGGGCCCGTTGATCTTGTACTGTACACGCCCACAGACAGGTTTGCCTCAGAGCAGCAGCTCTGCAGACCGTCTTAGAGCAGCCGTCCCCAACCCCCGGGCCTCGGACCGGTACCGGTCCGTGAGTCGTTTGGTACCGGGCCGCGAGTTGAGGCTCAGGTCTGAAATGTATCGTTTTCAGGGTTTTTATCGGTTTTCAGCGTTATTTTGTTATCGTTTTTAGCGTTTACTCGGTTTTCCTGTGTCTTTTCACGTGTGTTATGAATAAATCTTCTTTTTCACTACCGGTACTAGTTTTATTTTGTTCTATTTATCCGCACACCTTAAAGGCCGGTCCATGAAAATATTGTCGGGCATAAACCGGTCCGTGGCGCAAAAAAGGTTGGAGACCGCTGCCCTAAAACACTCTGCCTGTCGTTCATCTGTGGTTATAAAGCACAACCAGGACGCACTTTGAACCACATGAATGCAGCAGTAAACAGAAAAACAAGAAACGAGAAGCACAGCTGCACTAAGGCAGCTCGCTCTCTGGCCAGTACTCGAACTAGTTTTTGCATATATTCCTTGTATCTGCTTTGCACTTTTTAAATATAGTTTGTGACCAGATGAGTGCAGCATGACAAATGTTGTACAGCAGCAGGTGATGGACAACAGAAGCTTTCGGATTTTGTTTCATTTTAGTTTCATTCTCTGGTGTCTTCCTACAATTAGTTTATCCATGCTGGGAGTTTGTTGTTTAATTGTTTGGCTTATTATGTAATATATACGCAGCCTATATTTGTAGATCTGTGTGAAGGGAGGTTTCTTCATTTGATTGTTGTGTGTATTATTGTAGGGTCTACCTTACAATATAAAGCACCTTGAGGCGACTGTTGTTGTTGTGCTGAATACAAGACAACTGAACATACAACGTTGCCTCTCTTCACAGTTCTGTCGTTAAAGATCTGACACATTTTGGGGTCAAGTTGAGTTTTTCAGTCTATTTTTCTCAGTCTGTTTCAACCTTGGTGGATGTAAGCAACATTTGAGTGGACATGAGCCCACTCTAATCCCCCCCAGAATTCAGTCAACAGCTTTGAAGGTATCGTGCTGACAGACAGACAAAACGCACATATGCACACAGCACCACAAACCTACGGCCTTTTCTGACTCATGCCAGGACAATATGTATTACATGTAGATTACTGATCAGCTGTGGCTCTGATTCAGTGTTGCTCATGGTCACATGACCTGTGACAGGTGATGTAAGACGATGGCTCAGAGGTCCATCCTGGGAGTTCTGCAGTTTGAATGTGTTTTAATTCTTTTCTCCAAATATCAATTCCCCATCAAACATGTGCGTATGGCCCCACGGTGAGCACGCCAGTGTGGGTGTTTCGGCGTGTTTCCTGGGTTACAGTTATAATTTAAGATTTATGCAAAGTATCGTGACGAGCTGTGGGTGAAGTAGAAAACCTCAGTTACTACACTGCGTGCCATCTACTTTAGAAAGCATGCCTGTGGTTTGCCATAGCAGCTCTGTTTGAGTTTCATACAGGAAGTATGACAGAGGAAGACGTGCAAATGGCGTGCAAACTTTAAATGTAGCTGACACTCACAAAGGCTGGACTGATATCTGTCAGCTAGCTTAGTAACACCCCCAAACAGGATGCAGAAAGGACACCAAACCTAGATAAGTGGCAGAAAATGAATGGATGGATTTTTGTCCCCATGACGTTTTCCCGTGGAAAAAGTTTATACCTTGGAGTATAACTATGTTGAACAAATCCTGGATGTGTATAATATGATGTGATATGATATGTGTGTTACTTGTATTTGATTTTTGGAGTTGTTACTGAGCACTTTCTTGTTGTTAGTGTCTTTAATGTCTGTAACTTAGTGTGATGTGTTTATTGTTATTAACCTCTGTCTCTCTTCCACAGCATGTCTTTATCCTGTCTTCCTTCTCTCACCCCAACCAATCACAGCAGATGGCCCCGCCCCTCCCTGAGCCTGGTTCTGCTGGAGGTTTCTTCCTGTTAAAAGGGAGTTTTTCCTTCCCACTGGGTTGGGTTTTTCTCTGTATGTATTATTGTAGGCTCTACCTTACAATATAAAACACCTGAGGTGACTGTTGTTGTGATTTGGTGCTGTACAAATAAAATTGAATTGAATTATCGTTCCCCTCCTTGAATCGCTACCTTATCGTGGTGGAGGGGTTTGTGTGTCCCTGGGATCCCAGGGGCTATGTTGTCTGGGGGCTTTTGCCCCCTGGTAGGGTCTCCCATGGCAAATTGGCCCTGGGTGAGGGACCAGACAAAGAGCGATTCATAAGACCCTTATGAAAAGGACACCGAGGGAACAGTTTACCCTGCCCGGGATAGGGTTACCGGGGCCCCGCCCTGGAGCCAGGCCCGGGGAGGGTGCCCGAGGGCGAGCGTCTGGTGGCCGGGCCTTAGTCCATGGGGCCCGGCCGGGCACAGCCCGAAGAGGAGACATGGGCCCATCCTCCCGCAGGCCCACCACCCGCAGGAGGCGCCATAGGGGTCGGGTGCATTGTGTGTCGGGTGGCGGCCAGGAGCGGAGGCCCTGGCGGACTGACCCCCGGCTGCCAAGACTGGCAATAGGGACATGGAATGTCACCTCTCCAGGATACTTGAGGGTGCATGGGAGTTTGCCCAACCAGTCTACATGTGTTTTGTGGACTTGGAGAAGGCATTCGACCGTGTCCCTCGGGGTGTCCTGTGGGAGGTGTTGCGGGAGTATGGGGTGTCTGGCCCATTGCTACGGGCCATTCGATCCCTATACAACCGTTGCAAGAGCTTGGTTCGCATTGCCGGCAATAAGTCGGACTCGTTCCCGGTGGGTGATGGGCTCCGCCAGGGCTGCCCTTTGTCTCCGGTTCTGTTCATAATTTTTATGGACAGGATTTCTAGGCGCAGCCAAGTGGCGGAGGGCTTTCGCTTTGGTGGCCTCAGAATCTCATCTCTGATTTTTGCGGATGATGTGGTTCTGTTGGCTTCATCGGGTGAAGGCCTCCAGCTCGCACTGGAACGGTTCGCAGCCGAGTGTGAAGCAGCGGGAATGAGGATCAGCACCTCCAAATCCGAGGCCATGGTTCTCAGCCGGAAAAGGGTGGAGTGCCCACTCCGGGTCGGGGATAAGTTCCTGCCCCAAGTGGAGGAGTTCAAGTATCTCGGGGTCTTGTTCGCGAGTGATGGGAGAAGGGAGCCGGAGATCGACAGACGGATTGGGGCAGCAGCTGCAGTAATGCGGACGCTGCACCGGTCCGTCGTGGTGAAGAGGGAGCTGAGTGTAAAAGCGAAGCTCTCAATTTACCGGTCGATCTACGTCCCTACCCTCACCTATGGCCACGAGCTGTGGGTAGTGACCGAAAGAACGAGATCGCGGATACAAGCGGCAGAAATGAGCTTCCTCCGAAGGGTGGCTGGCCTCTCCCTTAGAGATAGGGTGAGAAGTTCGGCCATCCGGGAGGGGCTCAGAGTAGAGCAGCTGCTGCTCCACATCGAAAGGAGCCAGTTGAGGTGGTTCGGGCATCTGACAAGGATGCCCCCTGGGCGCCTCCTGGGTGAGGTGTTCCAGGCATGTCCCACCGGGAGGAGGCCCCGGGGCAGACCCAGGACACGCTGGAGAGATTATATCTCTCGGCTGGCCTGGGAACGCCTTGGTATTCCCCCGGACAAGCTGGAGGAGGTGGCTGGGGAGAGGGAGGTCTGGGCCTCTTTGCTTAGGCTGCTGCCCCCGCGACCCGACCCCGGACAAAGCGGATGACGATGGATGGATGGATGGATGGATGGATGAATTATCGTTGTGGTTATTTGTCAGTCTCCAAAACATGAACTGGATTTCCAAGAGGTCAAATAAATGTAATGTAAAGTGAACAGGGACTTGGACACTAGTGTTTGAACCGAGGAGAAGATCAGCTTGGTTGATTTGGATCTTCTCACATTAGTCCAAACAGATATCCAGCCACGTCAGGCCCACTCACACTCGCACTCACAATCTTTTCTACAGGCACCCCAACCTTCATTTGTAAATGAATGAAAATAAAACTGTTTGCTTGATCCTGACGAGCAGCATCTTTTCGCTCTAAACTCGTACCAGTCGTGTGACAAATTGCTTCCACTTCTGGAATTTGGTGTATTCCCAAAAAGGAAATAATCCTGGAAACCTCAGAGGAACCAGCTATTATGTGTTTGACCCAAAGAACAAAAAGACCAGAGGACCACACTAAGGACACTGTAACAAACATGTAATAAACATTTTTAAACATTATATGAAATGTAGTGTTAATGTAATTATTCCAAAAAACATCTTGAGTATGGAATATGTTGCAAATGATATGAGCTTCAAGCCTAAACTCTTTAATGACATCATTGCGCTCTGGGAGGAACATCCTTCAATCAATAACTCGAACATTTCGGCGGCTACTGTGTAGCGTCTGTAACTGATACATGTTTTCTAATAAACGGGTTATGAGTTTGTTTAGCGAAAGAAAAGTCCGCTTTATTTGAAAAAGCACACAAAAACCCCACACAGGAAGCCCAGATCTCCCAGTGTTACACTGGGAATTGAACGCAGCCTATATCTGTAGATCTGTGCGAAGCTGGCAACATTAAATTTGCTTCAAAACCCCACGTGGGCATGACGTGATCAGCGATTGGCGCACACGCATTAACGTTTTGAGAGACGTGTTATGCGCAGTTTCAGACGTTTGTGCGCACTAGTGATGGGATTTCCAGCTCTTTTTAGAGATCCGGCTCTTTCGGTTCGGCTCACTAAAAAGAGCCGGCTATTTCGGCTCCGAACCGGCTCTTCAGATTGTTTTGTTGCTTTAATTAATTTATTATTAACAATAATATAAAATTATGCACAAAAGGAATTACTAACGTAAAAAAAGTGGTTTTATTTATATATGTTTATATATAAATATATGCGGTGGCACCTAGAGACAAAACACGTACAAACTCCAAAACACATTTCTAGCATGAACTGAACTTCCAAAGCAGAGCTACTAGATCACTTAAATTACACAATTGAAAGCATGTATGTATTGTATGTGTATTCATACACAAGCACTCATATATATTCAAATAATTTAAAAAAAAGTTCATTTACCTGTTACTACCACACATCAAATCCGGTCGTTGGTACTTGCTGGCTTGTGTAGCCACAAGATAACAAAAGCTCAACACTGCGCCCAGCATCCTGGAGCACTTCTGTTGTCTTTTGTACGTGTTTTGAGTTTTTATATGCTTCTAAGTTTTTACGTGCTTATGAGTTTTTACGTGTTTTGGAGTTTTTACGTGTTTTGGAGTTTGTACGTGTTTTTACGTGTTTTGGAGTTTGTACATGCTTCAGAGTTTGTACGTGATTTGAAGTTTATATGTGCTTCGTCTCTAGGGGCCACCAAAAATATACTTTTATTTATTCACTCCACATAAAATGTAATAAATAAATCATATAATACAAAAATCAACTATTCACATTTCAACTTTTAACTATTTAAATTTTCAGCTTTTTCCTTTTACAAATTTAAAGTGAAACAACACAAAACACTGCAAACCACAACACAATTAAATATAAATTAAAATATGAAAACATAAAGAAGATGCATATTCTCTGTCATATGGACCTGCATGAATAAACTTTCTGAATCCTTTATCATCTGCAACTGAAAATAGTTGTGGATGATTACTATACCTTTCTAATGTGATGTTGTTGTCCCTGGCTCTCTTTCTCTCTCTCTCCCTCCCGCTCTGTTCCTGTGCTACTGAGTATAACTACCGCCCCTCCCCCCTCTGGTAAAGCACAAGACTCACGTGCAGAGTGAAGCGGAAAAAAGGGGAAGAGAGAGAGAGAGAGAGAGAGAGAGAGAGAGAGAGAGAGAGAGAAAACCCACGTGACGGCTCGCGATAAGGAGCCGGCTCTAAGAGCCATTTCGTTCGCGAACGACCCATCACTAGTCCGCACAGGAGGGTTGTTAACAGAGACAATGTTCGGATTCGTGAGCTGAACTAAATAAATTGTGAATAAAGGATGAGTATCCCGGTTTGGATCGAGGCAAACAGTTCAGTGTGTGCTCAGGTTGCAGGTTTTTGTGTGCATTGAACCACAGTCCTCAAAAGTTACACGTTATTACAAACATTTGTCTTATTTTTACGCGTGTGGATCATATCGTCCGCATGTGCAAAGAGCAGACGTTATTACTACGAAATAATACCCAGCTTTTCAAAGAAGTGCTTCTTTGTTTATTTGCTTGTTTGTTTGTTTTTGGCAAGTGGCCAAACAACTTTTTAATTCGCTATACTCGTCTCGCGTGACCTTAAAAAGCAGTTACACACAATAATAATGGCAGCTGTGCTTTTACCTTGTGTTAATGTTCCAGTAACCAGGAAAAGCAGCACCGCAATCCTCAAACAAAGCTTCATGTTGGCTCTTCTTTAGCCGTGTGCGCGGGTCGGCGGCGGGTATTTGTGGACTCAGAAACACTCCGCTGGTGTCTTCTTACACTTCATGAGTCAACTTTGCCTGTGAAGCACAGACTGGGTGTGGCAGCCTCTGAGAGGGCGTTGTGCGTGAGACGCAGGGAAAGATACAAGAACAGCAAACGGAGCCTAAAATCTTTCAGTGAATTTACATCAGCCGATATAAATATTACAGTTCGTATTGTAACGACCGTGGGTTAGTGGAGCTAAACTGGCTAAACTGCTCACTAGCTAAAACGGCTAGCAGGGCGCTAGCAGCTATCGCTAAACTTTACAGCGAATGG